AACAACAAACCACTGACAAAGAACAAATTAGAACACAACAAGAAAGAAAAGTTTGTAGTTAGTTCAAGGATCGCTGGCCTTTAGGAGTGTTTTACTGCTGCCTTTTCATCCACCCCAACTCCAGTCCCCTTCACGGAGGGCTAGTCTGCTCCCTGCTTCTTCTCCTCAGTCAATTGTATGCTCTCGTATTTTCTCTCCTTCCCTCTAGCCCTTCCTCCCTCCTTTCCTTCTTTCACTGTTTGTCAGTTTGTTGCTCATGTTGTTAGCAGTCAAACATGTCCAAATAGGTCTTGTTTGAAAAGCACAATCTCCCTTGCACTTGCTTCTTGGCCCTAAGTCTGGCTTCAGCCCCACCATTTCATTAAAACTACTCCCCATCGTGGCCATCCTGGAACACAATGGATGCCGGTGAAAAATAACCAAACATCTGTTGCTGTCAAGTCAATGAGGACTCATAGGATAGAGGAGAACTGACCTGTGGAGTTTCCAACACTGTCATTTTTATAAGGCAGTCTATCTCATCTTTTTTCTACAAATCCTCTCGTACATTTGAATCACCAATTCTTTGGTTAGCAGCCAGTTGTAACCATTCTATGATCCCTTGCTGTTATTCTGAACCTGTTTCCAGTCTTTGACACTGTTGACTACCCTCTGCTTCTTGAAACACTCTTATCTAGTGGCTTCAAGACACTAATAGATTCCCTCCTACCTCTTGCTATGCCTTTGCTGTCTGTTAAGACTTCTCTTATGCCCGTTACTTAAATATTAAGTGTCCTTCACAGTCAATCTTCTCCTAAAATCCCGTCTTCTTTCTCTCTCTCTCTCTCTCTCTCTCTCTCTCTCTGTTCTTCATTTTTAATTTTCTTTTTTTAAAATCATTTTATTGAGGGCTTGTACAACTCTTATAATCCATACATCCATCCATTGTGTCTAGCACATTTGTACATTTGTTGCCAGCATCATTCTCAAGACATTTTCTTTCTTCTTCAGCCCTTGGTATTAGCTACTCATTTTTCCCCTCCCTCCCTCATGAACCCTTGATAATTTATAAATTATTTTTTTTGTCTCTACTCTTTCTCTTAAAATTTCACCATGACCAATACCAATCATTTATTTTCTTTTCAGACCTAATCCCTAGCCTGCCCTTCTCCTGTGTTGAGTGTGTCTCAGTAAATGGCTGCTCCGCATACCCAGTACCTTGGGCAACACCTTTTAACTCTTCTCTTCCCTCCAGCATCCAGCCATTGACAAAATTCTGTCAATGTTTCCTCTTCACTATCTCTGGAGTCTGCTTTCTACCTGCTGTCTCTGCCATCTCTGATGGAAACCATCACTCTGCCTCGAGGACTTCAGTAGCTTCCTAACTTATCTTCCTGCTCTCATTCTTGCCCCTTCCCATCTTTTCTCCATCTGTATTTTTGTTAAATGTAAAGTGAAATATAACTCTTCTGTTAATCCTGAGATAAATTCCAAAATCTTTACCATGGGCTCTGGGAATTGGGTCAGGTGCTCCTCATTCCCTTTCCAGCCTTACCTTTCATTGTCCTTTACAACTTTGTCCAATTTGAAAACTTTTTCCTGGTTCCCCCTGCTGCATTTCCGTCCCCATAAAACATGTGTTCTTTCCTCTCACTTGTACATCCTTTCTTCTAGGCATCACTTCCTTTGGGAAGCGTTTGCCCCACATACAAATCCAGGGGAGGTGTCCTTCTTGGGCAGGTCACTGCATCCTAAGACCCCCTCTGCTGTGGCATCTCTCACAGTGGTGTCAGTCCGTTTTCAGCGTGCCATCCTTGTCACCCACGAGAGAGAGCTCCACAAGGGAGGAGCCCCATCTCTTAGTCCTTGGGCAACCTCTGGGCCTCTTATATTGCCTCACTTGCAGCCCAATAAATGTTGATGGACAAATGAAGTTAAAATATATTAAACACATGCACACATATATAGCAATTATTTTTTTAAAGCTATTAATCCTTATTTCTTAGAATCATAACAAAGCTACGTTCAATTGAGTTTGGAAAAATAGTATCAGAACAATTGTGGCATTCACATTATTTTCATGTCAGATTATTTTTTAAATGCCATGATAATTTCTTTTTAATGTACTGCTTATCACTGTTACCATGATCCCTAACTCACCAAATCAAACCTCTTGTTAAATTGATTCTGACTCACAGCAAACATAAAGGATGCAATAGAACTGCCCCATAGGGTATCCAAGGCTGCAAATCATTAGGGTGGTAGACTGCTGCACCCTTCTCCCATGAAGGTGCTGATGGATTTGAACCACTGACCTTTTGGTTAACAGCCATGCACTTGAACCACTCATACCACCAGAGCTTCATCCATGATCCCTAATATTAGCAAATTACTTTGAAACAGGACCACCATGGAGATCAATGTAATATTCCTCATAGTTTAAGTAAAAGTTGTTTCTAAATGTTACTGCACAAATCTCTTCAATATTTGCTATCTGAATAGGTTGGTTTATATAAAGATGTAACAAAATGGTAAATGCAAGTTTTTTTAATTTTTAGAAACTTGGCATAATACTAAATTCATTTCTGTTTATCAATGTTATATTGTAACTTTAAAAGCTATGTGTTATTAAAAGTTAAAAGTGAACTTTTTAACTTTTTATCCAGTGTTAGATAATTCTTTAAAATAGTTGACTTAAAGAAAAGTTGAGCTACAGCACTTTCAGGAACTCGTAGTAGAATCAGACACTGTTCTCCCCCCTCCCCACCCCAGAAATGTCCCAGAGAGTACATGTCCTAGTGAATTAGAAATATGAACAAAAAAGAAGAACTTGTATTTTAAGTAATCATTGCATTGAATGTTATCAGTTATTTCAGGATTATAAGCATCTGATTATTTTGCTGATTTTAGGATGATAAAGTTCTTTCCTTTATTGGGCAAAATAAGGCCCATCACTAATGAAGCCATGGTCTGTCTTGACAGCTCTGGAGCCTCCCAGCTCAATTGCCTGGGATTTATACAAGATAAAATTACAGTGTGTGCAACAAACGACTCCTATCAGATGACACGAGAAAGAATGACCCAGGCAGAAGAGGAATCCCGCAACCGAAGCACAAAAGTTATCAAACCTGGTGGACCATACGTAGGTTCGTATAGCTATCTTGCTTCTCGCTGATTGATTGGAGTGATTCAGCATCACTGTAGGTACATACCTGGTACTGTGCACTTAATAAGGAATGCACAGTAACTCATCTTCAGAAGATTTTGGATAGCGTAGTGAAGAAGAAAGCCATGTGTTCTCTTTCAGTTGCTGGTAAATGGTGAACAAATTTAACCATTTTACTTGTCCTAAATCCAGACTCCTCTATTGGCTATTTTACAATACTCACTGTCTTACAATACTGGGATTGGTCAGCTTATTATGTGACGTAATCGTGCTGCTACTGTTGTGTTTTTTCAGTCAGTAGATGATGTAATTTCAGCAATGAATGGTATGGTTCTTGTTCTCCACTTTTGTAGGATTATTCTTACAGTAAAATTTATGAGGTTTCAGATTTTAGTTTCCATTTCCTGAGCTTATTTTATTGCACCGAAGATTCTTTATTGCAAAAGTATATCATATGCCTACAGCACACCCTTAGGATGATGCTCTTTGGCACCTCAGTGTTGGTGCCATTTATGGACCCCCATCTCCATCCGTCCATCAAGAGAGGCCCTCGCCCTCCATCATCTTTCTCATCAGTTCACTCAGGTGGCTATCCTGTTGAATCAGACCAGCACCATAAGCCTCTCCTTCATGAGCAATATCTTGAACAATTTTAAGGAGTCAAGTCACAGTGATTTTTATGGGTATTAACCAGAGTGAGGCCTTCCACAGTTTTATAACCCAAGTCATGACAGAGTAAATGATGAAAGGATATTAATTTGCATTTAAATGCTCTAGAAATAGTCTCCAGACAAGCCAAACACCTTAATCAACATCATTCCAGGGTTTGGTGTAATTCTACTTCTGTATTTCCCCACTGCTGATCCGCCTACAATACATCCAGCCTTGAGAAGCTTTCCCAGTGCCTTTAATAAGTATTTCTTTGGAACAAAGCCCAAACTCCTGGGATTTGGTGCTTAGCTTAGATACATTTAGTTTGGTTTAACAACAATTCATGGCTTCCCCAGGTATATGCACCCAGGGGCCCCAGTTCCCTGCCCAATAAGTTACCAGCAGTGAGAATTTTCACCTTCCCTCTCTTGCTCAGGAAAGTAACAGATTTAAACCTTTTTTTTTTTCCTCCTTTGCCTTCACAACTAACTTGACTTTCTATATTAACTAGTTAATTTTTTTTTAAATTATTCTTAAAATGGGTGAGTTACTTAATTGTGCCAACCTGGCCGATAATCACATGTGGGGCAAATTGAAAGGCAGAGGGATAAATGGGTGGTGAGCCTCGCCTTTCTAGCTCTCAGGTCTCTTGCTTTGTGATGGTCATACCAGGGTGCAGCTGCCTTAGCAGTTCCCTGCTTCAGCTTGCAAGATTGACTTCCTACAAGACATCCCCAAGGAGA